TTACGTTTCCAAGATAAAGTAAGAGCAAGTTGTTTGAACAAATATATTAAATATATACATTCCAATATCCACGTATTCTTTTTCAAGCCTTCTTCATATATTAACTAAACCTTAGTACTACATTTTAATTGCATCAAGCATGCATGTGACTGAAGATAAATTTTACTGAATGGTATGTGTCTACATCGAAAAGATGGGAAAGTGCACTTAGGTTCAACTAAATTTTCCAACTGTGATGATAAAAATTATCATATTTTAAATAACATATACTACTGTGAAAACATCCAGGTACTATTGGGAGACATATCCCCTCACCGGTGGCCTTGTATTCCTTATGACTATCACAAGTTGGCAATCTCCTGTTGGAGGACAGACCCAAAAGACAGGCCATCTGCCGAGGAAATCTTGAACAAGCTCAGGAGGTTAAGGGATGAGCGAGCAGTAGGTATGTTTCAAACAAAGAAAGATTTTTATGATTATTTAAAAATTTATATTGCAAAGAGAATTTAAAAAATCGGTAAAATCTATTGTTCATAGGGCATCATGAGATGCTCACTCCTCCATGGCACCTGATCCCTACTCTGATGTTTTGGAGGTCCGTGTTTATTCTTCTCCCGATTTGATTTGTTCAATGGATATTTGAGCTTGAATCCTTCAGTTGTCGTGTTGATATTAAATTTAGAGAAAAGTGCATATTCTATTTGGAAAAGCAAACAATTCAATATTTTTATACCTCTGTTAAAATAAAATTGGGGATTTAGTGATTGGGTGTTCGTCTCAACGTCTTCCCTTTCGAACGTCTTTAATGTATGGGGAAGCCTTATCCTTCTATATTTACATTTGCAAATGTTTTCCTTTATATAACACTACTGAAAGCAAGCGTTTTTATAACTGTATAAATACATGTACGGGGTCAAGAAGTCATAGATTTCGTATGGATAAACGTTCGACGTAATTTCTCAGTGACGTCATAAGGGGTCGACCCGCGTTCAGTGGATTACATGTGTAATTATACATGCCGTTGGTTTTGAAAAATAATGCATTTCACACGTTAAAAGTCACAATCAGGCAAATTTAAAGTATGAATGTCACAAATGTAAATATAAGTAATAAGGTATCATTTTTTTTTTAGTTTTATTGGGATGTAAAACGAGTTGGTACATGATCAAATCTTCCATAAAGCCCAAAGGGCTTTATGGGATTTGATCACGTGACCAACCCGTTTTACATCCCAATAAAACTAAAAAAATGATACCTTATTTCTTAAATACTACTAATTTATATGTAATAAGACTTTCAATGAAGCTTCATAACGTAACGCTATTGTGCGTTTGATCAGACAGATATATGGGGTTATTCACCACGCAACATTGACTTCAGTTTTCTTATTCTAGAAGCTGGGTATCATTTCGATAGCCTCAGAGGCTCTACTTTATCATCATTTATGATCATGGCATTTCATCTAAAATGATGTTTTATATCTTGCTATGAAGATAAAACAATTACATACAAGGCACTGAATGTTTTAAATATTTTAAGATCCCAAAGAACCAAAAAGAATTTGAACTGGAATATATATATTGGATTGCAAAACTTCATAAAAATCCTTACAAACAAATATACATATCGGGTTCGAGAAAATGCTCAACCAAGCCTCTTTCTTTACTCCTCACTAAGATATTAACATGATCGTGAAGGAGAAACTTCAAGAGTTCTGCTCAACAATATACTCAAGAAGTGTAAATCAGATGTGGATATTTAAAAATTCCAAGGAACTTTTGGACAATTTCAAATCATAAGATTTTACCAAAATCAACAGCTTAATGACTTACGATTTTCAACTATATACACAACCATTCCACACGATAAATGAAAGTCCAGGCTCTTTGATATCACTGTCAGCTGCTTTTTTCAACAAAAAAGTAGAACTCGTAAATTTACTTACCTTGTCATTGGTCATTTGCAAAATTCTTTTGTTCACAAACATTTTTATTGTACTCACAAGTACTCTAAGTTGACACCAAAAAGATGACCGAGTTTCTGATTGACAATATGCGGTTTTTGGAGTCTTCCAACAATCTATTGGAATTCCCATAGGTACCAATTGCGCCCGTAAGTCAGACCTATTGTTGTTTTCTTATATGCAGAATTGTTCCAAAATCTTATATGTGAAAAGAAGGAAACACTTGCTGTGGCCAACAACTCGACATTTAGATATATCGACGACGTATTGTCAATTAACAATGGTAATTTCCATTCTTATTTCGATACGATATATATGGCCTGGTGGTACTGAGATTAAAGAAACCACAGAGTCTGACACATCTGTTTCATATTTGGATATTTTACTTGAAGAAGACGTTAATGATAATCTTACCACCAAGCTCTACATATTCTATGATAAACGTAACGACTTTACCTTTACAATCGAGAACTCCCTTACTTATGCAGCTATATACCTTCATAACCCGCATACGTAGTTATTATATCTCAGTTGATTCCATCGATTCGAAAAGGAAGCGACGTGATTTGTGTCGGGCGCCTCGACATCATTTTCTTGTTTTTTAAGGTGTTTTTAGAAAAATTAATTATCTTGATAAATGTTTAAATACTATAATATTCCGTAACATATTATCAAGAAATATTTTTGCTGTTTAAATTCGTATTTTTCTTTCAGTCATTTCAATTGTGTGAAAGTACAGAAGGGGGTAGAAGGGGAATAAAAATATTTTAGTCAATTCAGCTATATCAGAGTGTCAGACAATTTTGTTTTACATATTTTAAAAATTATTTCTGATTTAAAATTTGATAAAATGGAAATAAAAAATTTCTGTTGAAGCAAATGAAGACATTTCAGATCCTCCTCATCTAAGTGAGCGTCAAAAGGAAAGAGGTCATGAACCAGAGAGGGTGCGTTGGCGACTGATTAAATTAAAGATAAATGCTTTACTGAAAAAATTAAAGAATGAAGAGATTATTAATACGAAATAGGACTTAGAAAGCTTATATTTTCAAGGGTATCATTGTTGTATTTTTCTTGTCTTTTTAGGGCATTTCTCCGTTCATAAGAAAACTTAAAGAGGAAAGCCTAGAGAAAAAAGAGAGTAAGTCCTCGTAATCTAAAACTGAAAATAATTAAACAGAAACTACCGGTAACTGCGGTAATATTATTTGAAATGAAAGTCGATTTATGAATTGTTATAGATACTTTAAATAAAAGGTTAATAGAGTCAATTCATGTTGAAGATATCCGGAAAACTGTTATCGAGATGAGACGCCAAAGTATGTCGAATCCTCAATGTCGTGTAGAAAAACGCACCTCTACATTGTGCCTGGAAGACCTAAAATCATTCAATGATACTCTTGTCAAGAAAACAGTAAGTACCGTTCATTTTTGATTTCATATTGTCATGAAACAATCTAAAGAAATGTTAAAATATTTTTTCTCATTCTGTAAGTAGAAAAAGTATCAAAATTGTCATATGATTTAAACAATATTCTTTCTTTTCACAAAGTCATAAATATTGTAAATAATATCTTGCGAGCATAGTGTACGATTGGCAAACCTTTTCAGGGAGAATACCTATGCATTGAAGAGCAAGTCTCTGTGGAATTCTGCGAGAAAATTCTCCCCACTATGAGCCCTGACTTCTGTGAGAAAATGGGGATCATTGCTGAAACTCTCTCACGTGAAAAGAAGAACATGACTGGACAAAGAATAGCAAATGTTTTAGTAAGTTAAGGTTTTATATTATTATAGAAGACAATATTTGTTTTAATGAAATACTATACAGGACAAGGATGTAACAAATTCTTTAATTAGTCACTTCTGTAAAACATATTGTATTTTAGAAGTTTCCAAGGTATGAATTTCCTGTCATATATTGTTTTCTGTATTATAAAGCTCCACATTGAAATCGTAACTTTTATTTATGATTGTAGACATACAAATACCCAAAAGCCCTTAATATTCTGGAATTACTGAAGGGCAATGTTTCAAACCATTCCTGTGCTCAAATGCTTCTAGCCGTGGCCCAGCTTGTTCAGAAAATGCATGCAAAGAGATGGCTGATGGTTGCCCTGACGGCTAAGAACATTTATATTCAACAACAGGAAAACCAATATAGGGTCAGGAAGAAACGTTTGTGGAAGTTAACTCAACGTTCTTTTTTGTATTTTCTATCTATGTTAACGTATCAACCAAATTGTCTTTTAATGAGTCTATCTATCACATACTCCAGAGTGTACTGATGAATTTAAGATTTAAAAAAATACAGAAATAAGTCTATTTTCTTTTTGTAGGCATTTCTTATCAAATTAGGCACAATGGTACGCCTACCTGAAGCACCCGATATAAATCAAGGAAGTATCCGTGTCTCCCACAGATTTGAGGACATTATATTTTGGTAAGACACTCCACCTCATTTACTATTGACTTTTGATGTTATTTTTTTCCTCTATGTTAAGTCAGAGGAATACATTTAGAAGCTTATACTGGAAAAGCACAACTTATATTCAGATACTAGTACTTGGGTTTGGTAGCTATTCTAAGATCAAAGACCCTCTTTTCCAAAGTCTATCTCCATTATAAATCTGATCCATCTACACAGGATCCCGAGGGAGGTGATAGCTTTTGGAGAACTATCTGCAGGAAGTGATGTGTACACAATAGCGATGTTGTTTTATCAAGTTTACATGGCATTCTCCGGGCATGACGAACTTCAAACTGTTCCCTTTGGCAGAAATTATAAATCTCAGGTATCAGCACATATATATAAAATATATGCTTTGAATATTATTAATTACCACAAATCGGTATATTAACAATGAAACATATGGAGATAACGAACAGTATTCAAAATCAAAAGTCTATAAAACAATATGAAATAGGATTAGAGCAAACACAGACCTCCAAAACATTGGAGGTGGGATCAGGTGGGATACACCCTTGTATTCCTTGTCACGATCGGGAAATAACGGAAAATCTGTCGTCAATATTCAGTGTATAAACAATAAACAAATAATCAGTATGAAAAACAGCACTCAGGATTTGACTCAATGATAGGTTTTTTGCTGATAAGGTCATTGTATCGACCAAAGACTTACAAATTGATGACTTTAAACAAGAATGCTGATATTCTTAGAGCATGCTCTTGCGTATCGAATAAACTGAAATATATAAACTCCGAATGCAGGTGATATGAAGGTACATGTATATTGCTACATAAGTAAGGGAAGTTGGCGATAGAAAAGTCCATGTCATCACGTTTATCATAGAGCCTGGTTGTTCGATCACCGTTTACGTTTTTTTTTCAAGTAAAATATCCAAATATGAAGCAGATTTTGTGGTGTCTTTTATCTCAAGCTCACCAGGTTATACCATATAAACATAAGCACGAAAATTACCATTGTTAATTGACAATACGTCGTCGATATATCTAAATGTCGAGTTGAAGGCCACAGCAAGTGTTTTCTTCTTTTCACGCATACGATTTCGCACAAATTCTGCTTCATATGAATACAAAAATAGGTCTGCTGGTAACGGGATGCAACTGGACTTGGTCTCCAAAAACAACATAGATATTGTCAATCAGAATCTCAAGCATCTTGTTGATGTCAACTTCAGAGTGCTTGTGTGTGCAATCAGAATGTTTTTAACAAAATAATTTTGCAAATGATCAATGACAAGGTAAGTAAATTTACGAGTTCCATTTTTATTGAAAAACAGCTGTCAATGATATGAAAAAGCCTGGACTTTAATTTTTCGTGGGGAATGGTTGTATATAAAGTTGAAAAGTCGTAAGTTTTTAAGCTGTTGATTTTGGTATAATCTTGTGATTTCAAATTGTCCAAAAAGTATTCCAGGCATATATCCACCTTCCTTGATTTTTTTTGTACCAGAAAAAAAACAACATTAAAATGAAAAAGGTGAGGAAAAGGCAGAATGGCTAATTTACAGAAATCTTAAAACAATACACCAATAGAAATTGTAGAGAAGAGATCAGGTGCTAAGAACTAGTATGTATTCCCTGTTGGCCGGTCGCACCTGACCAGGTAGACAGAAAATTCCGTAGTCAAATTCTGTATAAAAACAAAGGCCTGACAATTGGTATGAAATAATTATGTCAGCCAAAATACGACCTTATAATAGGTAATAATCGCTGACAAGGTCATTATAACGGCCATAAAAATTACAAATTGCAGACTTGAAACAAAGTTATTGAAATCAATGAAACCTCAATTTATCTGTCAGTAGCCTACGTCGGTTTAAGGTATACCTTTACTCAGATGATTAAAAATTCCACTGATAAGAACGAAAAACCACATATTGCACATTGTACACCTATGATTCTTGTGTTAAATTTCAATTTCAAATAACTAGGTCAATGACCTCGTTTTCATGCTAGGGGCCCCTGAATATTTCTCGGGAAATACCTCAATTTTTCACACTATGACCATTTTTTCTTCACCAACAAAATATTACAAGCAACAAAACTCTTTAAATAAGGAAATATTATAGCAATGGAACAGAGTTGATCCATATAAAGAAATGAGTTTGGGCCATAAACATGATAATTATTACAGTCCGAATTTCCTCTGTCATATTTATATTTTTTCCCTATTTTTAATCAAATATTGCAAAAATCTGACTGATAAGAACTCTTATTTATTTATAGTCTTTGGCTACTTTTGTTACCCTCATTCTCATGGTATTAATATTATATTGGGCCAATGATCAAATTATTGAGATATGTTGACTACAGTGGTTTTTGTACATGTTTTTGAATTTCTTTATTTCATAGCATTCTTTTATTTGAAATAATTTATGAGCTTAAACACAAATAAAATTTGAAAAATGATGTCTTAAAATACATGTAACCTTTACTTTGTGATTAATATTGCAAGAAATAAAAATTTTGAAAACAATTAAAAATTACAAATTTAGTCCGAATTTCCTCTGCATAGCAATACATTGAGTTTTGTTCCTGTATATTTTCTTCAAGTACTAACATATTAAACTTTTAAATTGATATTGAGATAAAACTTAGTTATTTCATCCATTTAGAACAATTTTTGATTCAATATATTATACCTTATAAAATTTCCTCTCTGATTTCTGAAACCTGAGTAAACGTCATCCTTAAGAGCGTACAGTATTTGGATCATGCTCCTTAGTATTGGATAAGTTTGGAGATGAACAAAGATACCATATACAGGTGATAGCGAGATACAAGTATTACTACATGAAATATATGGAGATAAAGAGCAAAAGTCCATCTAGACAATACAAATAAAGGGTAATGTACAAGGACATATATTTTTTTCAATATTACATAAGGAAAGTTGACGATGAAAAATTTAAAAATTTAAAATCATCTCGTCATATTATTTAGTAGTTCAAGCTAATCGGCCTTTGTTATCTATAGTCAATAAAACATCAAAATATGAAACAGACTCAGTTTCAGTGGTGTTTTCAATTTCAGGTTCACTGGGATATATCGAATCGACATTTAATTGGATGTATAGCTATCGTTAATTAATCATATGTCTTTTATTTACTGTATAGCTATATGTCGAGTTGAAGGTCACAACAAATTGTTCAGGAATAAATTCTGCTCCATAGGGATCGATATAAAAACAAGTCAGCAAGTTAATGAGTATATAATAAATGCACATTGGAATTCAAACAGTTGATTGTTCGAAGACCTGTGCAGCTGGCCTCCGGGAAAAATAAAGATGTTGTCAATGAGAAAGCCCCACATCTTTTGAATATCAACTTCAGAGTACCTTTGTGTATAATTGAAGCGATTGTTAACAAAGGAAGTAACAGTTTTTGATTATATAGAAAAGCTTAGTTTTTTTTATTTATTGACAAACGGTGAAAGTGTAGAAAAGTTTAACGTTAATGGCTTTCGACAAACATGACAAATTTAGCATGCTATATTTTCTATTTAAAAGTTTTCGAGAATCTGATCCTTATATATATCTTCACATTTTTCATTGCAATAAAAATATTACATGTTTCAAAATATTTAGTGTCCTTTAACATTTGAAAATGGGGCAGATGTAATAGGGTCCGAAAAAGAACTGTCGAAAATATCTGACTAAAACCTTTCAAACTTTAATTTTAGTAAAGATTTAGTTAGCCTTTCGTTATATAAAAAACTTAATCTGTTCACAGTTATCGTATATGCTATATGATAAACGTGATGACTTTAACTTTTCTATCGTCAACTTCCCTTACTTATGCAGCAATATACCTTCATCACCTGCATACGGAGTATATATATCTCAGTTGATTCGATACGCAAGAGCATGCTCTACGTATGAACAATTTCTTAAACGAGGTAAATTATTGACAAGCAAGTTTTGATGAAACAAGAATATCAACAGTCTCGTTTAAAGTCATCATTTCGTAAATTCTATGGTCGATACAATGACCTTGTCAGCAAATACAATTTATCATTGAGTCAAATGCTGACTGACGTTTTTCATACGAATTGTTAGTCCATTATTTATACACTGAATTGACGACGGATTTTTTCCGTTATTTCCTGATCATAACAACGAGCACACGGCGGGTGTGACCGGTCGGCAGGGGATGCTCACTCCTCCATGGCACCTGATCCCACCTCTGATGTTTCGGAGGTCCGTGTTTGCTTTGCTCTTATTTTGTATATTGTTTAATGGACGTTGAGATTGAATACTGTTCGTTTTTTCCATATCCTTCTTATGATAAATTGTGATGAAGAAGAATCTGAGAGACACCAAACATTACATCACAGATTATGCCCCTTTTAAACTCTGTGTAGATTTGTACAAATTGATGTTTTAAACTCTATGTAGATTGTATTAATTGATATATTTTTATCTTTACTACAATATGAATAGTAGAACTTTGGAGATAACGAACAGTATTCAAGATCAGAAGTCTAACAATACAAAATAGGAGCAGAGCAAACATGGACTTCCAATACATTGGAGGTGGGATCAGGTGCTATGGAGGAGTGAGCATCCCCTGCCGACCGGTCACACCTGACGTGTGCTCCTTGTCATGATCGGGAAATAACGAAAAATCTGTTGTCAATTCAGTGTATAAATAATGAATTAACAACTAGTATGAATAACGTCAGTCAGCAGACTCAATGACATTTTCTATTTGCTGACAAGGTCATTGTATCGACCATAGAATTTACGAAATGATGACTTTCTACGAGACTTCTGATATTCTTGTTTCATCAACTTGTTTATCAATAATCTAGACATTGTTCATACGTAGAGCATGCTCTTGCATATCGAATAAACTGAGAAATATAAACTCCGTATGCAGGCGATGAAGGTATATTGCTGCATAAGTAATGGAAGTTGACTATTGTAAAGTTAAAGGCATCACGTTTATAATAGAGCTTAGTTGTTAGATTAATATTAACGTCTTTTTCAAGTAAAATATCCAAATATGAAACAGATGTGTATGACTTTGAGGTATCTTTTATCTAAAGCTCACCAGGATATATCGTATCGACATTAGTATGAAAATTACCACTGCTTATTGACAAAACGTCGTCGATATATTTAAATGTCAAGTTGAAGGCGTTTTCTTTTCACGTATAAGATTTTGAACAAATTCTGCTTCATATGAATAGAAAACTAGGTCTGCTAGTGATGGAGCGCAATTGGTATCCATGGGAATTTCAATAAATTGTTGGAAAAACCTGGTCTCCAAACACAACAAAGATATTGTCAATAAGAAACTCAAGCATCTTTCTATCAACTTCAAAGTACTTGTATGTACAATCAGAATGTTTCTAATAAAATAATTTTGCAAATGACCAATGACAAGGTAAGTAAATTTTAGCTGCAGAACTGTAGCTCTCCGAAAAAAATATATATATCGACAGACCTGTACGGGATATAACTATGTAACAAAAAATTGGGACATTTTTAGCACTGCCAAATCATTTATTAAACGATTGAATGATTTTCATTCCATTACCGGAAGATGATTTTTAGCCCTCTTAACAGAAATAAAAAATTAGAATTTTTATTAAAATTATAAACAATATTTTGGGTTTTTAAGGTTTTGTACGCGTTAATCATAAGTATTCTACTAAAATCCCAGAAAAATATCCTTCTTTCTTTTCCGGATGTGATGCCTGTATTTCCTCAAAATGACTAAAATCATGCATTTTCATTGCTGATGCTGGAAAATCTCAAAATAAAGAAAAAGTAGAGCTACAGATGCAAATTTACACTACATGTATATAACAACTTTTCGGGCTCAGGTGTTTCAAAAGCATGAATAACTTGACCGAAAGTCTAAGGGTTACTACACTACGCCAAGTTAGAGAAAATTCAACCTCAGTATCGGTAAAACACATTAAAAATGCCCAAGAATATTTATTTTGCTCGGATAAAGACATTGATACACCTAATGCATGGTAGAAATTGGGCTGCGTATGGGTCGGAAGAGGGGATGTTTTAAAAGATAATAGTTCTACCTAATGTTGTATGAATAACGAACCTAAATTCCTAATTCATAATGAATCGACATTTCTCGTTTTATTATTGTATTCTGACACTGTTCCTCATCCTAATACCACTGTACTATACAATGTTGATGTTTCTGTATTTCAAGAAGTGTGTGCGAATGCTAAAAGTTCACCTTTCATAGGAAGCTTTTTATAAACAATGGCCTTACAAACCTTATTCTGTCAGATACTTGGTGTGCTTAATGAAGGACAGAAACCAGAAAAGCCAGAGAAGTGCCCCGGTTGGCTGTATGATGACGTCATGATTCCTTGTTGGCATAGCGATAGATCGTGCAGACCATCAATTTGTGACATAGTGGGAATCATGTCAGAGAGGTTCGTAATTCTTAAGTGATTTTTTATGTTTTAAAGGCATTCATATTTCTATTAATAAACTTGCATTTATTTAACTTTAATGTACATATTTATGCATGTGTATAAAATAGGATAAGTGAGAACCAAAGCATCAGAACTTCAAGTTTAAAAACAGACAAAAGACCAGTAGAAAATCAAAATGATACATCTCCAGAAAGCATTGCTAAGGAACAGAATCTTGATGGTGGATATTTGGATGCTGGAGACATTGATAAACAACAACGCTTAGGATATGACATGTTAGGTCAGACCACAGAAAACCAGTATGATGATATTATGAATATCAATTCCTCCAGTAGAAACTTTGAAAGTTCTACCCAATCATTTACTCTAAACGACAAAGAAATGGCACAATTTGGCATGACTGGGCACCCTTCAGAGTCTTCTGTGTCATCATCATCATCTTTTGTGTCCCCAACTACAATCACAACCTTGGGATTTCCTAATGTTCGAATCACAGACCCAAGACCCTTCATTGATAAGTCTCGGGCATTTGGAGTTATGAACACGGATCCTGAATCTAACAATACAAAAATCAATCCGCTTCTTAATAGTGTTCTAAGTAGTGATGGATTCTCAGCAAGCTTATCCACAAACACAGATAAAGAAGAATTAGAGACAGGAGTTCTGAGTAGCATAGTGCTGACAGATACTAACTCTGACTCAGTGAATAAATCATCAGATTTTACGAGCTCACAGAGTTAAGCAAAGATTTGTTTTTACAATTCAAAAAAGCATTTATGAACAATTAAAAAATTCATATTTCTCTGTTTGGTGCAATCATATAATTATGACTTGTACCATTTCTAAGAGAAACACTATTATATGGTCAACAATAAAGTTGCCTGGAATGTAATTGGTTTAGAAGCACAGGATGTTTGATAAATAAATAAGGCAGTTGATCTAATTTTTAACTTTTAAATCATCTATATACATGTATAAAAATTATTTAAGAGCAGATGATCTTTCATGTGTGATTTAATTTAGAGTAGAAGTACTATCTTTATTGACATCTAATTTACATATACTGCCAAGTTGAGCAATTATTTTAAAAATTAACAGATGCTACAGGTACTCTAAAACTACGGCGCCGCTGCAGGGCCAGGTAAAATAATATTTTTACTTGTTCGGACAAATTAGAAATTCGTTCGGACGAATAAGTTATTTGTTCGGACGAATTAGATATTCGTTCGGACGAATTAGTTATTTGTTCGGACAAATAAGAAATTCGTTCAGACGAATTAGTTATTTGTTCGACGAATTAGTTATTTGTTCGGACGAATTAGATTTTCGTTCGGACAAATTAGAAATTCGTTCGGACGAATTAGAAATTTGTTCGGACAAATAAGTTATTTGTTCGGACAAATTAGAAATTCATTCGGACGAATTAGATATTCGTTCGGATAAATTAGAAATTCGTTCGAACGAATTAGAAATTTGTTCGGACAAATTAGATATTTGTTCGGACAAATTAGAAATTCGTTTGGACAAATAAATTACTTGTTCGGACAAATTAGAAATTCGTTCGGACGAGTAAGTTAATTGTTCGGACGAATTAGGAATTTGTTCGGACAAATAAGTTATTTGTTCGGACGAATTAGATATTCGTTCGGACAAATTAGAAATTCGTTCGGACGAATGATTTATTTGTTCGGACGAATTAGATATTCGCTCGGACAAATTAGAAATTCGTTCGGACGAATTAGAAATTTGTTCGGACAAATTAGTTATTTGTTCGGACGGATTAGATATTTGTTCGGACAAATTAGATGTTTGCACAAATTATCTTGTAAAGAGAGATATACAATTTGTATAATCAGGAGGATTCATCCCTTTTTAATACATAAATAGCTCTTTGGACCATGACATACACACGTTGCAACTAGACATGTGCTATTAAAGTCGGGTATGTTGATTGTAAATATTCGGAAATAATGGTTCTATATCGGTATATATTATAGACCTAAAGTCTTCCATTCTGAAAGTATATTATCTGAGAGCCCACTAGCAAATTCAAAGGGTCAGTTACTTCTTATTAAACATCTTTTCACTCCCATCCGTGACACACTCATAAGATTTTTCATAAATAAACATCATCTGGTTCTACCAGACCAACTTTTGCTGGTTGTGTTAAATTGGTTACACTGGGGTGCCAGTGGTCAGTTACCACTTCTTTGAAAAGATGAGATCCACTCCTTAAGGTTTTATTCATACTGCAGGCAATTGGTACGGGAAAAAATGGCATTGAAAAAGTAAGTCCCCCACCACCACCACGAAATAGGACTGTCAACTTTGGCAACTTTTCCTGTGTCATTTTTTTTTTTGCTTGTCAACTTTTCAGGTAAGTATTTTTTTCTAAGCCCCCCCACCCACTTTCAAAGACGCTGCTACGTGGCTGTATTGTATTTTATTAAATAAACTTCGGACTCAAAATATCGAGCCTCTTATTCGATGGTTCTTAATTTTTTAAGGTGGGGCTTACTAGCTAGGATATTTGTAGTTTTTCTTCTATACCGATGTTCCTTTGAAGTATTTTGTGATAAAGGAACAAACAGAGGGAATCTCATAAGTCCATCTCCAATGGATTCTTTCTAAGATCGTTAAAAACTATTATTAAGTAACTATATTAATTTTATTTTATATTTAAAATATATTACTTGAGATATTAATATATTATTTGAGTTCATCTCACAATATGCGTCGTTATCAAAGCTCTATCCTCAACATTATATGTCATCATTCACCTCCTTTTTGTGAAAAATCTAATAAATGAGATAAGCCGGAATTTATTTATCCATCTCTACAGTGTCGGTACTTAGTCACTAGTTTTACGGGTTATCTCCCCTTTTCTATGCATCAATGAAAGTGAAAGGTGGGTGATGAAAGTATCCGAATTATTTTTTTTTGTTTTTTGTATTATGAAATATTTTCAGTTTTTAAAGTTAAGTTTCAGTCAAAGAATTAACATGGGTTATCTTATTAACATTGATTTTGCTCGATGGCAAATATTTCATTGGATTGAAACAGATCGATTCAGGCACGTAGCATCGTTTTTGAAAGTGGGGGGCCAAGCTGAGAAAATTTTTTTTACTTACCTAAAAAAAAAAAAAAAAAAAAAACGAAAATTGTAAATAACCCAAACTCGAAAATCCTATTTCGTGGGGGGTTGGGGGGGGGTTGGGGGTTGGGGGTTGGGGGGTGGGGATGGGGGGGTTAGCGGCCAACTTTTTTCAAGGCAAACTTCCAATTTTTTTCCTATATTCTCTTGCAATGTACGAGGGTCATTCCAAAAATACATAGACAATGCTTCTCATCGTCATATGATTATTACAAGATTATAGATCAACATAAACATTTATTTTGTCGAAGTGTGAAGTTTCATTCCATTTGATTAAATAGAACTCATGTTAGCCAAATTTTAAAGCAACATGTTTCGTTACCACGGAACACGGTTTACCAATATTGTAACGTCAAAATCAACGCTGAGAAAGTTTGTCAAAAGTATACTCTTATTTTTATATTTCAAACACGGTTTGTAGCGTCTTCTCCATTCAAAACACATACCCACAACACTTAACACCTAGTTTGCTAACAATTGTACAAATATAGCTTGAATTAGAATGTTATTGTTTTCAAATTCTTTAATTTACCATGCAACTCTATTATTTCTGCAACATTGAAGCACATATTACGTTCAATGACGTTCCTAACTCTTTTGACAATATTTTTAACTTTAACCTGTTTCTTGCAGTCGATCCATCGTCCGATTCAAACTCGCTACCACTCAGAAATTGTATTTTCAATTTAATACAGATACACAGATTATTTTTCATACAGATCCTGGTTTATAAGGATTTTTAAAGCTTGTAGAAGAAGTTTCCCGAATGTAAAGGCTAATTTTATTGCTACTTGCTGCTCCGTGACGTCCTCCAACGTCATGGTTTTTTGCCTTTTTTAATCAAGTCCATATGTATTTAGAAGCTGATATCTTTTAAATGGAGCGAGATATTACATAACCTGATTTCATTTGAATTATTACAGCAATACTTTATTTAAACATGTAAATTTTATTTCGTTTCAGCTCCAATTATTAAAGATATAGCTGTAAATACTATAAAGTGAAAATGAGAAAATTACTCAATTTTGACGGTGCTCCGTGACCCCATTTTAGCTGTTCTAAATCCTCGTAATTTTAATAAATATGAAGATACATTCCAATTTTTTTACTCAAATTATTTGAATCTGTTGTTAAAACATTTTTACCAAATTTGGATATAATATGACGTTAAATAAAAAAGTTAGGACAAAAGTCTACGAACTTTTTGAATGACCCTCGTATATACTGGGGTAAAGAGTGGGGGGGGGGCAACCACCTTTACAATAGACATTTTCTATAGTAAAGGTAATGTTGGGAGAAAAAGTGGGGGGGGGGCAGGCCCCCCCCCCTGGCCCCCCCGGATACTACGTGCCTGCGATTTGCCACTCGTCCATACTTTAAACTTTGGCACATGGTACAAGAGGTAACATTACAATATGGTAATAATAACCAACTTCATCAGCAGATTTTGAATGAAGAAAAGCGTACTTAGTGAAATATTATTTAAACAAAATGAACTAATGTAAAAATAGCTATGAACTTCAACTTTATTCGGTCCATGTTATTCAAGGTCATTGGTCAAACATCCATACAGATGGTAGCCTATATTTAGATACTTAGTTCCCTTGGCCTATCTTTCAGGGGTTTAGAAAATTTAAATGGGAATATCCATAATTATAATTCTTACAATATGAGTATGCTTTTTGTAGATTTGGGTTTGTTGCATTTTATCAGTTTATTTAAAATATTTTGTGATATTTTGATAAATGAATAAATAAATAAATAAATAAATTTTAAAATAAATAAATAAATAAATAATTAAATAAAATAAATGTTCAAGGACATGGCTACCCTAGCTTCGCCATACTACCTTTTTCCTTTTATTTAAAATATTTTGTGATATTTTGATAAATAAATAAATAAATAATAAATAAATAAATAATAAAATAAAATAAAATGAATTTTTACTAATCTCGTCTCAGTTGTATATTTTCAGGCACTCGGACGTGGTACAACGCAGGAGCACCCAGCCAGCCACCAGCCAACCAGCCAGCCAGCCAGCCAGCCACAGATGAAGAGGAAGGAGCCCATTGCCCAGCTTTGATCCCAACAGCAGTCAAGCAGAGAAGAGGAGGTAAGATTCACAGTTTATATCTTGCAGCCTTTTGTGATCTTGACCTTGCCAAATGATGTTGACCGTATCAGCATTTGACCTCTTGACTTGCAATTGAAGGGATTAATTAATTCAGGCTGTAAAATCTCGGGGGCATAGGTTCCATGCACCCGAGTTGAATTGTACATTGTCTGTCAAATCTACATAATAGTTATGTTAGGACCAGCAGCATCCTCACCTATTCGGATATCTCTTCTCTTAGGGGGCTTGACAAGGGGGACAACTTCATGCACACTCAACCAGAACAATAACAATGTGTGCATAGTGAATTAGGACCTCAATGGTTCACTAGTTGATATAGACAGGATTCCCCAAATTTTAATTTAATTTACTACATGTAGATATCTAGCAAGGCTAGCTAATATTTTGCTGGTTTATATATATCAAAGGGTTCAGATTACATGTAAGTGAGATGGGGTCAAAGGCATGTTTTGCTTATATTTTCTGTGTAAACTTTTTGGTTTAGTTAAAATTATACATATTAAGAAAATAAAAGGTCATCGTTCATTTGGAAGCCGTATCCAATGTACATGAACACGATTTAATATGAATTTCTCTAACAGGGCCTGTACCTTAATTGAGTAGGTTTGATGATATCATGATAACACAATATAGACACACACATTTCCGAATATTTACAATCAACATACCCGACTTTAATAGCACATGTCTAGTTGCAACGTGTGTATGTCATGGTCCAAAGAGCTATTTATGTATTAAAAAGGGATGAATCCTCCTGATTATACAAATTGTATATCTCTCTTTACAAGATAATTTGTGCAAACATCTAATTTGTCCGAACAAATATCTAATCCGTCCGAACAAATAACTAATTTGTCCGAACAAATTTCTAATTCGTCCGAACGAATTTCTAATTTGTCCGAGCGAATATCTAATTCGTCCGAACAAATAAATCATTCGTCCGAACGAATTTCTAATTTGTCCGAACGAATATCTAATTCGTCCGAACAAATAACTTATTTGTCCGAACAAATTTCTAATTCGTCCGAACAAATAACTTACTCGTCCGAACGAATTTCTAATTTGTCCGAACAAATAATTTATTTGTCCAAACGAATTTCTAATTGTCCGAACAAATATCTAATTTGTCCGAACAAATTTCTAATTCGTTCGAACGAATTTCTAATTTATCCGAACGAATATCTAATTCGTCCGAACGAATTTCTAATTTGTCCGAACAAATAACTAATTCGTCCGAACGAATTTCTAATTTGTCCGAACAAATAAAAATTTTCTTTTTACTTGGCCCTCCAGCGGCACCGTATAAAACAAAACTTGAAAAAGAAAAAAAAATTGGATCTCTTTTTATAACACTCTCAGTTTCTAAAGTATAATTTAGGGGTTGGAATTGAGCAATTCATTTTTTTTAGCTCTACTGGTCAGAGACCAGAAGAGCTTATGCGATATAAAGGTGTCAGTCGTCCATCCGTCTGTCTGTCTGTCTAGCTGTCCGTCTGTCTGTAAACAATTTTTCAAAACGCTACTCCTCCTACAGTTTTGATCTGATTTCAATATAACTTGGCACACAAGAAGACTATACTAAGATGCATAAAATAGTGCATCGGTTTTTGATTTCGTTGAACGGTGTTGCCATAGTTACTACTAATAGAATTTTCTGTGAAATTCGTTTAAAATGCAACTCCTTCTACAGTTTTGGTCTGATTTCAATATTACTTAGCAAATAAGTAGACTACATTAAGATTTAGGAATAGTGCATCGTATTTTGATTGCGATGAACCGAATTCCCATGGTTACTAAAAATAGAATTTTCTATGAAATTTCTTTAAAATGCTACTCCTTCTGCAGCTTTGGTCTGATTTCAATACATCTTGGCACACAGGTAGACTACAAAATGATACATAAAATAATGCATTGGTTTTTGATTTCAATGAACGGTGTTGCCATTGTTACTAAAAATAGAAATGTCTGTGAAATTCCTTTAAAATGTTACTCCTTCTACAGTTTTGGTCTGATGGCAATGGCTTCTTTTCTCGTCATTTGTTATAAGTACAAACCAGTAGAGCTACAGTCTCAACAGAGACTTCTGGTTTTATTATTCAGTATAAAAATTCACTGTTTAAAAGAATATATGGCAAAAAGTAATGGAAACACAGAAAAAAAAGACTGATATATGTGATGGAAGGAGGGCAAGGGACCAATTCTTTAAAAAACAAAAACAGAACATTACAAGAAACAATTTATTCTATATGCCTCATTTAAAGCATGAAGACTTTGTTCATGATCAAAGAACAGTTCAAGAGAAACATCTGTGAAACATAATGACCTGCCTACATATGGCACAACTGTTATCATATACAGTGGACCCTCATTTATTCGGACGCTTTGGTTCCCAGTCAATTTGTCCGGATATGTGAAGCATCCGGATATCTGATGAAAAATCGTCCGGATACTGAAGCATCCGGATATCTGGCGTCCGGATATCTGAAGGTCATGCTTCAGTATCCGGACAATTTTTCATCGGAACGAAATTTTTAAATGCTATTTTGTCTTGTTTAACTGGTGATTCAGATATCCGGATGCTTCACTTATCCGGACAAATTGACTGGGAACCAAAGCGTCCGGATAAATGAGGGTCCACTGTACATCTAAATGAGTATTGCATTGTATTGTAAATAATTATGAAAAATCACAGCTTCACATGTTATAAAACTGAGACAGTTTTCTCTGTTAAATATACATTTTTCTATATATTGTAAGATGAACAAGAGGCCCAAGGGCCTTGAATCACTCTTCTGATAAATTATACAATCTATCCTAAGACCCAAGATGCATCAACTGACAAAGTTTGATGATTCTTAGCCAGTTAGGACTGAAGATATTTAAATGTAACGATAAGTAGCTCAAGGTGACCCATGGTGACCTACTTTTTGATTGAAATTTTCTAAGGACGAAAGATGCATTAATTGACAAAGATTGATGATTCTAAGCCAATAAGTACTAGAGTACTTGATATTCAAAAGTGGGTCACAGTGACCTACTCTTTAAATCAACATTCTCTGAAAACCCAAGGTGCACCAACTGACAAAGTTTGACAATTCTAAGCCAATGAGTACTCTAAAACTCTTAAATATAGCCATAAATGTCACACGTACGTCACCGTGACCTATTTTTCGATCATCATTCTCCAAAAACCTAAGATGCATCAAATGACAAAGTTTGATGATTCTAAGCCAATACATACCTGAGATACTTAAATATAGCCATAAAATGTCAAAATTAGGTCACAGTGACATACTTTTTGGTCGACATTCTCCGAAACCCAAGATGCATCTACTAACAAAGTTTGATGATTTTAAGCCAATAAATACCTGAGATACTCAAAAGTAGGTCACCATGACTTACTTTTTGGTCAACATGCTCCGAAAACCTAAGATGCATCAAATGACAAAGTTTGATGATTCTATGCCAATACATACCTGAGATACTTAAATATAGCCATAAAATGTCAAAATTAAGTCACCATGACTCATTTTTGGTCGACATGCTCCAAAAACCTAAGATGCATCAAATGACAAAGTTTGATGATTCTAAGCCAATATATACCTGAGATACTTAAATATAGCCATAAAATGTCAAAATTAAGTCACCATGACTCATTTTTGGTCGACATGCTCCAAAAACCTAAGATGCATCAAATGTCAAAGTTTGATGATTCTAAGCCAATATATACCTGAGATACTTAAATGTAGTCATAAAATGTCAAAATTAGGTCACAGTGACCTACTTTTTGGTCGAGATGTCCGAAAAGCCAAGATGCATTAAATGACAAAGTTTTATTATTCTAAGCCAATAGGTACCTGAGGTACTTAAATATAGCAATAAAATGTCTAAAGTAGGTCACCATGACCTACGTTTTGGTCGTCAATCTCCAAAAACCCAAGATGCATCAACTGACAAAGTTTGATAATTCTAAGCCAATGAATGCCCGAGGTAATTAAATCTAGCCATAAAATGTTAAAAGTAGGTCAACGTGACCTAATTTTTAGTCAAAATTTTCTGAAGACCAAAGATGCATCAACTGACAAAATTTTATGATCATAGGTCTAATAGTATTCAAAATATGCCTTTTAAACAATTTGAAAACAGATGCCTGCAAAGTTCAAAAAGTAGGTCACAGTGACCTACTTTTTCATAAATATGTTTTAAGGCCCCATGATGCATCAACTTACAAGATTTCTTGATTCTAAACCTCTCGGTGTCTGAAATAATGGGATTATGTTTTATAAAAGATTTGCCATAAAGTTCAAAAAGTAGGTCACAATGACCTACTTTTAAGTTGATGTTTTTTGAGGACCCAAGATGCACCAACTGACAAAGTTTTATGATCATAGGCCTTAAAGTGTCCAAAATATGCCTCCAAATCAATTTGAAAACAAAAGCCAGTAAAATTTAAAAAGTTGGTCACCGTGATCTACTTTTGTGTTAACATGATGTGAAGTCCTGAGATGCATCCTGAGATGCATCAACTTACAAGATTTGATGATCTTAGTCTTTATAGTAAGCAAAATATCAACGTTTTTAATAAATCGTAAATTTTGAAGTGACCTTGAAACCATGCCCTTTGCCCCAGGGTCATGCCTTGAACAATTTTTAATCTTCAATATATCCCGACCCTTGTATGTAAGTTTGGTGAAAATCTGCCTGGTGGTTCTGGAGAAGATTTTTTTAGCAACCAGTACTTTTGATTTTATTTTCCTGATTATCTCCCCTTGTTTTAAGGTTCCACCCCTAATTTTAGCATTTATAAATGGTAGGCCTGGGGCCAAGGATACCCTGTGACAAATTTGACAATAATTGGCCAAGGGGTTCTTGAGTTATGGCCCATATTCTAAAAAGTTAACGCACACCACACAACGCACACCGCACAAATGGCCATAGTGTTAGCTCTTTGAGCCTTTGGCTCAGAAGAGCTAAAAATGTTGTCAAATGTATTACTGTATTGCCAGGGTAAAATGTGTAATATTCATAAGCTTTTAGAATTTTTCAAATAGGTCATTTGTGAATGAATTGCAAGTGAAAAAGTTTTTAATTTTAAAGAAATCCTAAAGCTTAATTAATTGATCTTTGCATTCTATTTTTGTTTCAAAGAGAGAGTTTTTTCTGAATCATGTGTAAAGACTTTTCCTACACTGGTATGCTGTACATATGTGTGATGTATAAAATGTTTAAAAATGCTTGTGAATAAATATTATTGTGAATAATGAACTCAATAGGTTGGAATGTACCGGTAGTAAGCTTAAGGCAAATAAACATCTGGAATAAAATATATACTTTTACAAAAATGAATATATTTTATCTTGATCCAATCACATGTCATTAGCACCATATTCATGTATTAAATCATTTAGTTCTTCAACAATTAAAGACAATCTATAAGACATCTTCTGGCTTGATATTATACCTCCTTTAATAATATATTTCTATCTTGTAAATTTGGAGGCCTCCTTAATTATAGATCTTATCAGTTAAGAGGTATAGTCTTACAAAAATGTCATTCACTTTACAACCATACATTAAATGAAATCACAACTTATCGAATTCAATCAACTAAAAATAAATGACAAAGAAAATTATCACATGTATATAACAAATGTTACTTGCATGATGGTATGGGTACACTGTAAGTCTACTGAAAACAGCTGATTATGACTTCACTTCCTGTGGTAGGAGGATCAGGGGGAGTTGTCTCCCCTCAGTCAGCTGATTATGACTTCACTTCCTGTGGGAGGGGGATTTGGGGTCGCTGTTTCCCCTCGGCCATCAGACTCTCAATCTCCTCCACGGTTCGGGGGACACAGGTCAGTAGTTCCATCCCGTCTTCTCTGACTGCTACATCATCCTCTATACGAACCTGCCATTAAAATATTGTTCTTTATATTTACTCATGTAATGAATACTCAAATGAAGAATTTTCCACTTAAAAACAGTCTTCAAATTCAAATAAAATAAAATGATTTTTTACAATTTTATTTGTATACATATAATGCAAATTGAGATATAAATATTTCTAGATATATAAGAAATACATGTATCTCACCCCTCCAAATCCCCTGTATTGGTCTATCATCTCACGACACATGAACTGGGACTGCTCAGGGTTGTTAAGGGCTGCATCTAACAGCTGAAAACAAAAAAGAATTGCTCATTAAACAAAGCTTTCAACAACTTCAATTCAGCATCAAGTAAATGACTTATTATTTGCAAGAGCTTTATTTCTTCACAACTACTCTTTATCTTGCTAAAGTTATATGTAATAAACACATTATAAGTACCAAATACAGTCTAATGATAATAAGATGTGAAAAAATTAGTGACGTACAGTACATAGTACATCCAAAGTACCTTTCTTTGCTTCCCACAATTTCAAAGAACAAACCACATCTAAGATATGAAATCATGTTCTATATTCATTACCATTGTGGAACTTGCCACTCTCTAGAACTTACCACATCTATGAAATACACTCCAGGTTCTATGGTGAGTACCATTCTGGGTTGGACAACTCTGGCCGTCCTCAGGGACTTTAATCCGGGCTATTTATGTTGCACTGGATGAAGACATCGATGCTGTCGGAGTAGAACTGCAGCTCCTCTTTGATAGTCCTGTTGTAAGAATCCAGTTGATAGCGGTGTCTGTTGAGGTAGGAGAGGAACTTCTCTCGGGTTTGGAACTCGTCCCTGACGATATTGGCGCTGGTGGGCCAGGAGGACAGGTTCTGGATGGCGATGTCGGTGTCGGGGTATCGCTGTAGGAGCAGGTCTTTTGTTTCCACAGTTCTATGTTGCTCACGTACAATGCGCTCATATCGCGTTCCCTCTGAATGTTTCCGAGCAAAATACCCAACTCGATGCTGAAAAGAGCAAATATTCAGTCATATCGTTCAATATATATATATATATATATATATATATATATATATATATATATATATATATATATATATATATATATATATATATATACATGTATGTAGGTTTAAGAGTAACACGTAGAATTTATAACATGTAGAAAGTAATAAACCAGTGTAATTTTAAGGGGTGGAGGGATCAAAATTCAGCTTGAAAAGAAACAACTTTACCTGAGTGATTAACAAAGGTCCCACAACAGTGGTTCAGATTGATACGTTAAATACATAGAGTACCTGAAGTAGAGGATTCTGCTGATTTTGGAGGATACAATATAACTCTCCAGGGAAAATGAAGGTGTTGGCCGTTCATCCCGGTTAGTACAGTTACCGGAATGAGCACCACCGCCAACATCTTCACCATCTGTTGGCGTTTTCCGGCGTCCGTGATAGGGTTACCTGAGGAGGTAGTATAAAGAAGGAATTAATAGTAATTTATCAAAATAAACTTGAAAAATTACTGCAATTTGTTTTCGGAGATTTTAATCACATTCTTCATATAGAAAGACCATCTTAATATTTAAATTTTTTTTTATCTTTTAAGATCGAAATCAGGAAATGTCCATATATATCGCACTTTATTACATACTTAGTAATAAATACAGGTTTTTTTGCATATGCCATATGGCTGACGTCATAATAGCCGTATCAGCCCTGCAGGGCTGATATGGATTTGCGGGGCTGATATGGATTTGCAGGGCTGATACGGATCAATGTCACACCCTTAGTAGATTAAACCTAAAAAAACAGTACTGTACTTGTGATCATACACATATTTTGAGGGTTACATAATTCACTTAATTTTAATTTTTTTGAATGTAAGGATAATCTAATTGACAATTATTAATTGACTGTTTTCAAATTACGGATCGGGGACATTTGAAATAGAAGTACATGTAGAAACAAACCAAAACCGTATGAGACATAAGACCGTGTACACTGTAAGAAGTCTTTGCATGATTACTTACTTTTTTCTTCTCAACTCAATGTGTTCTGTAATTTATTACTAAGTATGTAATAAATATAATAAAACATACCCTTTTCCACATCACATCCTGTATCAGCCCTCGACCAATATCAGCCCTCGGGCCTTCGGCCCTCTGGCTGATATTGGTGTCTCGGGCTGATAAAGGATATGATATGGGAAAAGGTATGTATTATTCTCTATTTATTCTATATTTTGCCGGTCTTACCTTCACAGACCTCCTCGCACCTGTTCCAGTTCTGTCCAAGGTTTAACATGTCCATGATGGCTAGGTTCAGTTGTGATTGGGTCAGGGACTCCATGGAGCTGGCTAGAGAGGGTTCCTTCTTCCCATCCCCCGGGCGGACCCGACCCCTGCGCTACAACCAAGTCATCTTAGAGCTTACCTCAGCCATTTATCTAGAATTTCTAAATTATACTCTATTTCGTTGCGAAATTTGTCTCCTTGATCTTTTATGCTCATAATGCTATTCTTCATTTAAAAAAAACCACACACCATAATTTTAGGAAATAAAATTAATATTATTATATGGAAAACTTAAACCGTCTTTTTTCACTTTGCACAGGTACGTGGAATTGATGACCCAGTAAATTTTCATATATTTAGCATGTTTAGCATAGATTGAGAGGTATAAATATATTCGACTTTCCAGCTTACAGACCAGTCTAACTACATATGTAGGAAACAATTTCGATAGATTTCTGTCCAAAATATATCTTGTAATGCTAAGTACTTACAGAAGAGCCGTGGCTGCTAGAACATCGTTACAGGAGTGGACTGTAGATAAGTTGTGGATTCTATGACGGAACACTGAAGACTGACGGCAATGAGGAGGCAAAAATATAGGACTCTTAGCAGCCAATTATATCGGGTGATAACAGAGCATTTTGTTTTAGCATCCAATGGGTAAAGTTCAATGTGCCAGGTAATCTTTAACCACACTAATGGTGAACAATAATTTACTGTAATTTAATTAATTTGGTACAAAGGGGGGAGGGATCAAAAATACAATAAGCTACTTTATATGACATCAAAGATTTAAAATATGATGCATTCTGAAGAGAAACTCTGCTCACAGTGCACCTCATGGCTTGCATGCACTATAACATAATTATAAACATTATGTACATTGTACCGTTTTTATTTGTGATATTGCATTGATTATCAAGGTAGACTAAAACTTTCTTTAATACATTAGTCACGCCTTTACTTTTTTAAAAATCACATTTGACTCTCCAGGACATAGCCTGTAATCTGTCATTAAAAATAACGAGAAAATATTTCCTATGTTTTAGAAATAACTATAATTATATAACTGTATCCAGATCTGACTTTGTCCTTTTAGATAAACAGACTGTGTGAATATTTCTCATTACCTACAGAGCTTACTTTATCCCTGACAATCACATTCAGAACTCAGAAGTTGATGTGTAAAGGTGAAGATAAAAAACCTCGATCAACTCCATTAACCCAATGGACACAACGAAATAGTGCATAAATCACTGACCATGGAAAGACTCAAGCTAGGATCAGGTGCCAAGGAGTAATAAGCACCCGCTCTTCACCGGTTGATCATTTAATCGCAATAATTATTGCGTTTAATTGCAATAACTTTTGCATTTAAACGCAATAATCTTTATATTTAAAAGCAAGTATTTCTATTGATCTTTGAAGAGTGCAATGGATCCACGCTGATATTTGTTTCTTTTTTCTTTTGTACATTTATCTATGAGTAGAAAAATGTATTGTTAAGCTTTATAGAATCAGATTCATTCTTCTGAACAAGCATTTTCTGAATGATTAAATCATGGTATGGATTTAAAGACGAAAAAGAAGTGTCGGTCTGTAAAAACAAAGACAACCTTAGAAAGAAACAAAGCTTTAGCATGCAAAACTATGCAAACCATTGTAAAGGAATTTCGAAATAAAAGACAACAGAAGAAATAACTAGTGCTAATTGTAACGGGGACCGTTACAGATGTTCCCCAAACGCTCCCCAACTCCCTTTTGGTGCCATATTCCCTGTAAGCTTCATTAAATAAGACAACCTCTATTATGCATCTGAGATTTTAACAACATTAACAAAGAAATGTACAAAAATCATTTAAACTTTAGCATTGCACGCGTGCACATGTGAATGCATATGCGTCATGACCATATCATCTTGTCTACACAATCTATATTTTTAATATACTGAATATTAAAGTATTTAATCCAAAATTATAAAAAAAAAAATTCGCTCATTCAAGTGTATGTTTGATTTTTCTCATTTCACGTGCATACATGAGCATGGTGACCATACCTTCTTGTAGAAGTCCATTACATCTATCTATGTTCTAAATTCCACCCCGTTTGGGTGAAAACTAAGGGAGTTATAGCTGTTTAAAGTTTCAGCCAATCAGATTGCAGCACATGTACACGCACGTGTATGCATGTGCATGGTGACCATACCTACTTGTAGAAGTCCATTATATCTATCTATGTTCCAAATCCCATCCTGTTTGGTTGAAAACCAAGGGAGTTATAGCTGTTTAAAGTTTCAGCCAATCAGATTGCAGCGCACGTGCATGCACGTGTTTTCATGATAATTGTTTTATTTCTTGTTGTAGGATATCCTGATGCATGGCTATGTTCAAAATTTCAAAGGATTTCGTCAAAAAACAAGAAAGATATTGAGACTTTAGTTGCAGCCAATCAGAGCGAAGTGCACGTGCATGCGCGTGAGATCTTGCTATTTTCACCATGTCGTCATGTCTATACTACTAATATATCATCACATTATGAGTTTCAAAGCATTTCATTTAAAAATAGAACAGTTGTGGCTATATCTATTATATTGGTCATTTCACGTGTTGCACGTGCACGCTCTTGCAAGCACGTGCGCGCAAAATGACCTTGATTCCGCAAATCTACATAACATGTCTACTAACCCTAAAAAGGTTTTACCTACATCGGACGAACAGTTTACAAGATCATTCCCGGACAAAAAAGTTCCAGGAAGAAGAAGAAGAAAAATAATAATAACTAGATACGATCTCGTTGCGAGCAACGAGTGGGTCTTCCGTCCGATTCTTGATGAGATGAGATAAGATTTAGATTGAGATTGTCATTCTAAAATAATGATTTTCCATAATCTGCTAAAAGACATTGAACATTAAAGATTTTTAAAAAGTCGGCTTTTGGCCCCTCACGGTCCCTAATTTGAGGAATCAGCCCGTTTTATTCATATCATCTTAACGCTTTAAGGATTTTTATCACTTTTTGTTCAACAACTTTTCAGAGATTCTTTTTCGTTTTCGAGTTATTTGTAAAAGAAATATTTAAGGACCAACCCTTCAACTCCTTAATGGGGACGTTTAACGAAAAATAAAAAGTTGCATATTGTTCAGAACATGATTCTGAACATCTTTTGTTCAATATTACATATCAAAATATTTCCCACTTTTGAGATATAATGCGTCCAAGATTTAGCCTTTTGGCCCCATGTGACCCCTAACTATGTAATATACGACATTAAAATAATAATATAAAGTTGTAGATTTTTTAGATTAACATTTTTGCTTCAGTAATGTATATCAATATATTGCTTGCTGAAGAGGTATTGATTAAAGACTTTTAGCCCCTGTCGGCCCTTAATTT